CTTGGCTGCTGTGAATTGAGCTACTACAAGTATTTGTGTACAGCTTTTTCCATGACTGTCATCTCTTGAGATAGATATCCAAGGGTGTAACTGCAAGGTCATATAAGTTCATGTGTATAGTTTTGCTATAAACTACCATATTTTTGCATAGTGGCTGTATCTTTTTTATTCCTACCAGCAATATATGTGACCCAGTTTTTCTGCTTTTTTTGTTAGCATTTTGTATTATTACTTGTTTTTATTTCAGTCATTTTGATCACTGTGGTTTTAATTTCCATTTTCCTAAATGGCTAAGACACTGAATGTCTTTTTGTGGGCCTATGTGTAATTTGTATATCCTCATAGGTAAAATACCTGTTGATTGACTTTTTTGACCATTTTCTGATTGGATTGCTTGGTTTTTCTCTTCTCTGCTCTTTTCTTCTCTTTCACAGGTCTCACTACATAATTCAGGCTGGTCTTGAACTCACTATGTAGCCCAGGTTGCAGGGTGTCCTTGAACTCATGACGACACTCCTTCCCAAACCTGCTCAGTCCTGGGATTACATGTGTGCACCATCAGGCCCAGATGGTTGTTTTCTCCTGGTGAAATTCAATAGTTCTTGATGTATTGATGCATATTATCAAGTATGTGTTTTGCATATTTTCTCTCACTTGTAGTCATCTTTTAAAGGTCATTTTTCGCTTTTATCAAAGTAATCAGACACACAGTGGAATAGGCAAATAGCTCTCCAAGGCTTCTGTGAAAAACACTGATATCAGTATTTTCCCTCAATTTCTGAGTCATTTTCAACTCTTTTTGTTTGTGTTTTTAAACAGGGTCTTGCTACACAGTCCAGGCTGTGCTTGAACTCATGGTGATCCTCCTGCCTCAGCCTCCTGCGTTCTGGGATTACAGGTGTGCACCACCATGCCTGGCCAATTTTTAACTCTTTTAGCTGACTGTTTGGTATTACCAGCACATCTCTAAATAACATGTTTATTATTCCCGTTGGGAGTCATTCACTATTGCTTTTCCACTATGAAAAATGATTTAGCTTTTTACCCTTCTTTTCATCCCGCCCGTGCATACACCCTATTTCTTGCTCTAATTCTTCCACAAGTCCATAATCCCATATCTGTAATTTATAATCCACAACATTTTTTCGAAACGGGACCCAATCTGAACCCACTGGACAGCAAATCTGAAGAGAAGGCACTTCTAATCTTTATTCATACCACTTAACATAAATATTCATGTGCTGCATTATAGAAATATTATTTTGTTTTTTGCAGTGCTAAGGATTCAATTCAGGTCCTCACACATGCTTAGCAAGCACACTACTACCAAGCTAAACCCCCAGGCCCAAACAGCAACATTAATATATTTGATTAAGGACTAAAGTTGTGACCCTGTTGGGAATATCCTGCAATAAATGGGGGATATGCATGAACTTCTCTAGACATTCAAATATATGCTGCCTTTTTTACACAGATTTGAATTTTGTAACAGATTTGGTTCAGGGTTTCATATGTGGGCTTATGGATCTGGACCTGAACAGCTATAATCTGATGGATAAAATATTCATTATTTGCATTGTGAATGTCACTATATAAATTGTATTCACTGGTAAGCTATATTATGTACAATTACTATTCATGTCAAAACCATACAGTATTCCTTTTATAGATTAACTCATTTAAAATCAGTTAAGGGGAGGGATTGCTTGGCATGTGCAAAGCCCTGGGTTTGATTCTTAAAATTAGGTTTCAGAGGGATGATATAAGCTCATCTGATGGGAACTTTTATCTAATGTTTTTCCTATGTGGTATTTGACAGAAGCTTAAATGAGCATCTCTTCCTCGGAGTGTCTCCTCCTATGACACGTTCTCAGTGACACCTTCCAAGACAGGCCTGCATCAACTTCCAAGCTCCCTTGCATGCAGTCTTTACCAGTATGAAAGATACTGCATTTTTATTGTGTGTGTGTGTGTGTGTTGGTGATGGTGATTAGCCTAGCTCTCAGGGCCTCAGACAGGCTAAGCTATGCATGTGCTCTACCAATGAGCTGCATTCCCAGCCCTGAAATACTGTTTTTAATATTTGCTTATGTTATGTCTTCCCACACATAGTCCCATTAGAATGTAAGCTCCACAAGAGGGCAGGAATATTTTTTCTGTTCTGGTCACTATTACATTTCTGCCATCTAGAATGGGTCCTAAGTTACAGTGGGTTTTCAGTAGTGATTTTGTTAGTAAATGAACGTTTCTATGTGATGTATAGGAAATCATTAAGAGTGAGGGAGATTTCACTCAGTGCCACACAAGAAAAATTTTGCTGACTTTGGGCTATATACTTTGCATTATAACTGCTTTTCTAACAACTTTAACTAGACTCAGAAAATAAAATTGTTCTCAGGCTGGGTATGTAGCTGAGCAGTAAAATGCAGACTTTTTTTTTTCATAGTGGTAATTGAACTCAGGACCTTGCGCTTACCAGGCAGGTGCACTGCCGCTGAGCTATCTCCCCAGCCCTGAGCGGTAAAATGGATTAGAATTATGAAGTGATTGGAATGAGGAACAGAGAGATAGCCCAGTGTGTGCACTTGACATGGCTATCCAGGCCCATGAAATGAACAGATTTGGGGAGCCAGAGCAATACAGAGAAGAACTGACATGGACATGTTCTTCTTGTATCCTCTGAGGAGCAAACTGCCATTTAGACAGAGATTAGATAGAATACTAGTAATATACCAGCATCTTAACTTATTTCCCAGGTTACAACTACCATCATACAAAATGCTAGCAATACTGGCCGTAAGATTATAATACTGATATTGACAAACACGTTGGAAAATAACACATGTTGCTGCATCTGTAAGGCTCAGTCAGGTATGATCCTTTCGTTATAAGGATCATGTCGTTGAAGTGGATGCGGGTGGGAGGAAAGCGGTGGTCTGTGATATACAAAAATATATCTGGCCTTCTGGGGAGTAAGGAAGGAGAGTTCTTGGCACAGATCTTCTAAAATCTTTGGAATTTCCTGAGTGATAAGGACACCTGCTCTGCTGATGCAGTGAGTTTTGGAGGAAGGGACCTAGGCAGTATCAGGATGCCAGCTGGTTGTCAAAAAAACCAATCATATGATTAGAAGGCAGAATTTCAATGACTAGGGGCTGGGGATTTAGCTCAGCGGCAAAACGCCTGCCTGGCAAGCGCAAGGTCGTGAGTTCGGTTCCTGGTACCGGAGAAAAACAAACAAACAAAAAAAACACCAGAATTTCAATGACTAGATCTTCAGGCAGAGGAGGGTCCTGGAGACTGAGTTCAACTGCAAAGCCAACGTTTTAATTAATTATGCCTATGTAACAAAACCCTGACCAGAAAAACAAACAACAAAGGGCGAGGCAGAACTTTTTGGTTGGTGTCTTATGGTAGTTTCTTTCTCACTGCGGAGACACAATACCTAATACCCATAACCTAAAGGAGGAAAGGTTTATTTTGGCTTACAGTTTGTAGGTTTCAGTCCATAGTCATCTGGCTCCCAGGCAGGCTGGCTTGGCAGAGGAGAAAAGCAGGCAGGAAGCAGCAAGGCTTCATTCTTTTTATTGCATCCAGGCTATAAGCCCATTCATTGGTGCCACCCACACTCAAGGTAGGTCTTCCCTCTTCAATAAATCCAATCAGTAGACTAATCCAGTAACACATCCCTGATCCAGCCACACCCAAAGCCCCACCTATGAGCACAGGAGGCTTTGGGAGAATATCTAGATATAAGTCGTAACAGTTGGTGAACACACTCATATGCTGGGAAGATGATGCATCTGAATTCAACAAGGAGAGGCTGTGAAGTTCTGTGTTCTGTGATGGCTCATGTACTCATAAGCTGGCTTTTCAGAGGTGGCTGAATCTAGAGTATGTGCCATTGGGATTGGGTGTGTGATGCTGGGGTTAAGGGTGTGCGATTACTAAACTAGTCCACTGATTGCTTTGGCATAGCTCTGGATAATGGGAAGCCCCACCCTGATAGAATGAATGCAAGACAGAAAGAAGGCTGCTGCCATCACTTGCTGCTGCTTCACTGTTTCATTGTTCCTGCCTGCCGTGAACTGCTTCTCCTCCGCACTGCCCCTCTGCCACGTCACCCCGCCTTGGAGCCAGCTGACTGTGAACAGAAACTTGTATAAACTGTGAGCTACAATAAACCTTTCTGCCTTTAATTTGGGTTTTGGATATTTTAGCTCAGCAACAAGAAAAGTAACTACAATGTGTCCCTCCCTTAGCCCTCCACCTGGCTCTTCCTTTCTCCTGTATCAGTGGTGTCGAACCTCTGGCACGTGCCACAGGGGGCAGCTTGTATCATCAAAAAGCTCTAAGACGTTTGCCATCACTGTCCTACTCCTTGCAGCTCTTCCATGTGGGTGTTCCTCAGTTGTAAGTAAAAGCTTTCAGTGAGTTCTGTGAATCAAATGTGAGGGGGGGTCATGAGAGTCCCCGAATGTGTAGCTAGGACAGATGCAAGCACAGGAACCTGGGACTTCGGGGTGGTGTGTGGGCTCCACTTGCAGGCGGTAGCTGGGGAAGCTCGGTCTTGTTGGGGGCCGCCCCAGCCACCTTCTTGTCACTGGGACGCAACAGGAAGAGAGGCGTGCTGTGGCTCACGCTTTCCGTCCGTGGTCTCCTGTCTCCAGAACTGACGGCACAGCAGCGGGGCATGAAGGAGGGGAAGCTCTCAAGCCACGGCGGCGAGGAAGCAGAGAGAGAACGAAGGGCCCGGGAGGGGAACACGGCCTTGCAGGCCATGCACCCAGCACCGTCTCTTCCCAACAGAGACTCCTGCAGATAGCAAGTGGGCTACGCCATCCCCATAATCCAGTCACCTCCAAAGCCTCATGTAAGAGCACACGAGGCTCCTGAGGGATATCCAGATACAAACCCTAACAAGGCCTTGCCATCTGACTTACCAGGTCCGACGCTAACCCAGGTGGTGTGAGAACTGAACTGTAGAATAACAGAATTGCTTTTAGAGCAGACCCACTTCATTTTTTTTTTATTCAGGTAAAATACACATAACATAAAATTTACCCTTTAAGGTATTTTTTCTTTTTAACTTTTCATTGAAATACAACATATAGAAAGTATATGTAAGCATGTAAGTACAATATAAGTAAACTACTCAATCAGATTTCACAAACTTAACAGATCTTTGTATCTGGCATCTGGAGCAAGAGCAATATATTCCAACATTTCCAAAAAGAAAACAAATGCACTTAAAAGTAAGTATTTCTATTAAAAAAGTAAGTATTTCTATAGAAACTTAGTAATTAAAATGGAAGTAAAAGAAGTAATGGCTTTCCCATACACACACACACACACACACACACACACTCTATAATATAGCATTTCCAAAAACAAGTTCATGGAAGACTTTCTAAAAGTATTTGTGTTATTGTTAAAAAATTAACAATTGTTAATTGAATTAAGGATAGTCACACAGATTTATCACGTAGTAAGACTTTCACAAACTCAGAATCTAGGGCCCTATTGCTAGGAGTGAGAATACTACCTGTTGCTCATTCTAGATGTTTATAAAATTACGGAGATACTGTCTATATAACAAAATTTACCATCCAAAGAAAACTTTCTTACAGTGCTAAGGACTGAGCCCAGTCCAAATGCTAGGCAAGCACTCTACCACTAAGCCACATCCCACGCCCTTTTAAAATCATTTTTAAGAGTTCAACTCGGGCTCAGGATACAGTTCAACAGCACAGCGCCTGCCTGGCAGGCATGAGGTCCTGTGTTCGATTCCCAGTACTACCCCCGCAAAAGAGTAAAATTCAGTGTCATTAAAATTCTAAATGTTGTACAACCAACATCACTACCCATTTCATCACTACCCATTTCCATAATTTGTTTATTCCAAACAAAACTCCTTACTCATTAGACAATGAACTCCCAACCTCTCCTCCCCCTTAGTCCCTGATAACCACTGCTGTCCTTCCTGTTTCTATGAACTTGCTGATTCTAGGTGCCTTACATAAGTGGACCATACACTATAGGACCTTTTGTGTCGCTGAGTTTATTTCACTTAGCCTATTTTCTCAAGGTTCATCTATGTTGTAGTGTGTATCAGAATTCAATCCTTTGTAAAGCGGAATGATACTCCATTGTATGTGGATACCACACTGATCTATTCACTCATCTGTTGATGGACATTGGAGTTTTTCTAACTTTTGCTATTCAAAGAAAGCTACTCTGAACTTTGGTGTACAAGTATCTAAATGGTTATATATTTTCACAAATTCATCTGTATGTCTTGGTATAAATAAGCTCTTGGAGGCACTTTACAATTTAGGAGGCCAAACAAAAATTAATAATAACATTTTAAAGAGTCCAATGTTTTTTATCAGCATTAATATTTGTTCATGCCTAAAGATTCAGGGATAAAGTAATGAACAAAAAATGGAATGTAATCAACACTACTCAGGTATAGAGAAGTTACAGAAATGCTTTGCTAAATATTAGACTAGAAAATATAAAGTTGAAGTTATATCAATTATTTTGTGCTTACTCTTTCTGATTACACTTTTATATATTAAATACAGAGAAAGTGCTTACAATTAAAGATTATAGATTAGAATTAAAGATAGTATCTCTTGCGTTTGCAACCCAAACATGCTTATCTTTGGTTCATCAGAATTAATTTCAAAATTTCTTAAAGGTTGGCAAGGTATTTAGAGCTTTAGACCTGCATTCTTATTGGACTGGCTGTTTGATGATCGCTCTCGTTCTTTAGTAATTTCCATCTGAATTTTGATTTTGATTTTCTCCCAATCTACTTGGAGCTACAATAGAAAAAAGGAAGAAAGGTATAAGACATTTTAAAAATCTAAAATGACCAAGAATCAGCAAAAATAGAATGTATGACTTCAAAAATATTAGAGAAAAAAATGAACATTGAAGAAAACATGATAGTGCTCACAGTCATGAAGTATCTTTAAGCAGACAATTACATAATAAAAAGGAGACTCGCAATGTGATATAAAAGACCTAAGTGCAGTTGTAGCCATTTATAAAGGGCGTACGGATACCGTCCCATGGACTCTTAGGTTCCCTACAACTCCTCAGGGGCGAGTGAGGCAGAAGACAGATCGCTCTCTTCCAAATGAAGAAATGCTCTCTGTCCACTAAGCTGTTTCCAACAAGTCAACAGTTACAGCTTATATATTAAAATTTCCACTAGAAGCCTAGCTATGAGAAAAGAGGACATTAGCTTCCCCTGAGCACCAAATGTCTCCTCCACAATGATTCTTAAAGTGATATGAAGATACAGCAGCCACGAAGACGAAGAAGAGAAGATGTTAGGGGAAGGAGAGGGAAGGCAAGCCGGGGAGACACAAAAAGAGTCAGTGAACAGTGGAACCTTTTGTTTGCATCCCTTCTGTCCGTGACGCCTCCCCCTCCCCTAGCCCAGCCCAACCCCTCTGCCAAGTTCATTAGCCTTCAAGGCAGGAAAGGCCCTGCCTCTGAGTTCTACCAGCGACTTCTTTAGGAAAGTACAGTCTACCGTTTAACAGTGTTTGGAGATCATTTACTTGGGAAGGTGTGTCCTGTCTGAGGCAAGACATGGGAAAAATTGGGTCCTAGATTAAACTAATGGACTTACTATGAAATAAACTCAATCCCATGTGACTGGGCCAGAGGTAAGTAAGTTTTCATTTCCAGGTAGGGGAGCTGAGTAGTAATATTAAACCGTATTCAAGCACTACTTTCTGGCCAATAGATTTATTTTAAGTAGCTGAGAGACTAATCTTAGTAACACTTTATGTCTTGACGTTAGGAAAGGGCCCTGCCTCTGAGTCCTACCAGTAATTTCTTTAGGAAAATACAGTCTACTGTTTAATAAAGTTTGTCTTTTTAGTACTGGGACTCAAACTCAGGACCTCGCGCTTGCCAGGCAAGCACTGTGCTACTGAGCTATACCGCCAGCCCAGTTTAACAAAACTTGGAGATCATTTATTTGGGAGTGCTGGGAGTTGGTGGAATTGTTAGGTTCTTTATCCTTCAATATCCTATGTCCAAATTTCTATGAAGTAGTTTGTGGATATATTGGGTCACTTTTTAAAGAAAATAGTAATCCCACATATTTATCTATAACACTAAAATAAACAAATTAATAAACTTCCTCTTATCCTAGGACATAAATATCTATGTTTTCAAAAAAAAAAAAAAAAGTCTGCGCTGAGGTGCCAGTGACTGACTGCTGGAAAGCAGAGCCGATGATAGATCATTTGAAGGGCTCCTTTTTCAATCCGGCCACAACCTGGTATTTTAAATGGCAACACTAGTTTCCATGTCTAACAAAACATTCATAAAGAGGAAGACCAAAGCTGATGAATATCCTGGCCTTCCTCCAGACTTCAATTGACTTGTGTGTTTCTCAGATCAATCACAATAAAACCATACACTGATGTTACACTGAACTGCTGTTGGAGCGCAGCAGATGTCTGTCAGCTAAACTGATGACATTTATTAGTTACCTGTAATACAAGTGAAGGCGCAGTTGACAGCTCTCCTACAGAAAATAATGCCTCACTTTCATTCTGGCATTCATCCAGTTTTAAAACTGTTCTACAGATAATTTAGCCCTTGGACGTGAATACTGTGAATGGGTTTTAGAGGATATTCTTTGGTAGTTGTTAAGTGACTTCCACATTAAAATCCACCCTTTGTACTCTATGGGGTTTGCTAATACTATTGGGTACTTCTTATTTTGGTCGCTCGCCCATTCTTGTTCACGCAGAAGCTATTGAGTTCCCACCGTATGCCTCCATGTCTCTCCCATGTCTCTCTCAGTGGAAAGGCAGTCTGCTGCTTTACAGAGAATACAGAAGCAGTCCGGCATGAATTCACTTAACTTTCATTCCTCATACTCACACTTACTGCACCTGTACTCAACCTCCTTTCCCCTTGTCTCAGGCTAACCTCTTCACACGCCTCCGATCCCAGCCCACGGCCGTCGGTTATATTACACGCTCAGCGTCCTTCTCATCTTGGCCTCTCTCCCTGCAGGTGATCCGCCTTTATTCTCCTCAATCCTGACCTAGGTGGAGGCCAGCAAAGTCTCCCCAAGGGCTCCTGGAATCCTGACCATGTTCCCGTTACACTCCAGAAACGTTTTTTCTTTCCTGAGGCTGGTGACGGACCCCAGGACCTCTCCTTTCCAGGCACGCTCTGGCACTGAGCTGCATCTCCAGCCCCAGACACTATTCGTTAACAGCAGTGTCAGCTGCTTTAGTTCTTACCCTACAGAATTTATTTGCATGCTTCAATTATGCAGCAAGTATTTAACACTTAGTGTATTCCAAGGATTGTCCTAGCTACAAAAATGCAGCAGTGAACAAAAAGATAAAAACCACTGTCTTCATGGAGAGATAATAGAGACAGATAATAGTGGAAGAAACAGGTAATAAAATAAAAAATAGTGAGAAGTGCTAACTTTTATATCTGAAGCTATCTTTCAAGTTATTCTTTTGCGTACAAACTTCCATGCCGAGAAGTTTGATAATGATGTCCATTCTCTCAACACGACATAAAGACTTCAGTGTCTGGCCTCAACCCACAGCCCAGCCACCTGGCCCTGAGCAGTTTCTCAGCATTCCTCCGCTTCTTTCAAGAGCCCGTACATTTGCTCCGCTCATCACACCCTTCAACTGACAGACAAACTATTAGGGTACTTTCGTGGAAAAATTTCAGTTCCCATTTATTTCTAGAATCAGGATTTTAAAAGGAAAAAGTAATCATGTTTCCTCCCATTATTTAACTTGCCTCTGAAATCCTAAATCCTAAATCAATCTCTGTTACTTTTAATCTTTCCAATTTCAACACCTCCCATCTGCCTGGAACACGCCTTCTCCCACTCCTACCCTCACTCTCAGTCAGCTTCTACTGTTCATGTTACAGAGCTTGGAGCAGTTATCTGCTTTGCTTAAGATGGAAAAAAGAAGAAAGGAAAGAAGAAAAGAAAAAAGGGAGGGAGGGAAGGAGGGAAGGAAGGAAAAAGAGAAGGGGGAGGGGGAAAAGAGGAGGGAAAGGGAGGAGACGGGAGAGGAGAGCAGAGGAAGGAAGGGCTGCGGAGGGTTGGACGGTTGGGAAGAGGAGGGGAGGGGAGGAGAGGAGAGGAAAGGAGAGGAGAGGGGAGGGGAAGGGAGGGGAAGGGAGGGGAGGGGAGAGGAGAGAGGAGAGGACAGGAGAGGACAGGAGAGGACAGGAGAGGGGAAAGGAAGAGAGAGACAGGAAGAGAGACAGACACTGGGACAGAGCGGGAGGGATGGGGGGAGAGAGCGACTTTGCTGATCCGCACCTAGGTCAGGTTCCCTGTTCATAAAGTCTTATAGTCCAGTGCACACCCCCTTCAAGACAATTGTTAGAATTAAAATTAACAACTAACTATACAACTGTCACCTGCATTTAAATATAAACTTCAGTCTGTGTCTGTCATGTTTCCTATAACACCCCAAGCACCAAGAAGAGAATAAAAGCTGTCTGAGGAGGTATTCAATCAATAATGAATGAATAAAAAGTAAATAATTTCCCAGAAAATGAGTTATCATTGAACAGTTCCTACCTTTAAGACCTTAAGACATGAAAGGCAGCTTTGGTAGTAGTTTTGTGGAGGGTGATTTTTCCTAACTACAGTGTTAATCCTTCTAGATCTTCTTCAAAATTCTATACTTTCTGAAATTCTGCTCTTGAATTTTATTTTTTCCACTCTTTTGCCTAATATAATGTTTTAAGCATTTCCTGGTTTTCTTCTTGCACGAAGTATGTATTGAACAGACTGAACTCAACAGACTGAATATATTTCTTGAGCTGACTATATTGCCAAACTTATAATGTATTTTACAAATATTTAATGAACACCATTGTAGAACAAGTACAATGACTGTAAATAATAAGGTTCTCAGGAGACAGAATGCCTTATATAATCACAGACTTCCATATTTTAAATTAAGAAAAACCCAAATAACATTTCGGAGCTCATAAACATAAATGTATATCAGGTTTCTCACCTCTTCCCTTCAATGGTTAGGATTCCATTCATTTACACACTTTTACATAGTGTACGTACTATCAGCCCACCAGAATTCACCTGATACCTGGAATTTCTCAATTCTTTTAAGTGACATTTGTCTTTTCAACTTTAGGTCTAAAATAGAGGGTTTATATAATTTTACACATAGAGAAGTATGGCTGATAAATTATGGTTATAGAACTAAGTGAAACCAAATGATCAGCAAGTAGAGTGCATGTCCCCCAAAGCTACTTACTCAGTAGTAAGAAATTTTTAAGTGAAAATTAATTTCCATCTTAAAGTACTATTTTCCAATTTTCAGTTAACTTCCAAAGGGCATTTAAGAAGAAGAAAAGTAGGAAACTGTAATATAATGGCATAGGGAGTCAAAGCAAATAGTTTCAGGATGAAAGAAAACAAAATACCTAAGAAAACCATGTCTGGTTATCCCACTTTGGAAATGTCTATTGCCCCTATGACTGAAATATTATACTTCCTAACAGCTGAATACATGTATCTGTATATACCTGTTAAATAAATAAATATATATATAGTCCAAATATATATATATATATAGTCCAAATACATATATATAGGGTGCGTATATATATGTGTGTATATATATAGTGTTTTCTATTTAAATTATAATTTCCTTTAGGGTAAGGACTATATTTTCTATATTCTCAAAAGTATCTAATGCACTCTGGGAGGCAGAGGCAGGAGGATCACAAGTTTTAGCCCAGCCTTAGCAACTTAGCTACTTACCAAGACCTTATCTCAAAATAAATAATTTTTAAAAGGGCAGGAGATATAGCTTTGGGTGAAGGCCCTGGATTTAATCCCTACTACCACACAAAGTATCTAATGTGAAAATACTGAAACAATACTGATGATGAGAACCAGGAAATGAAGTAGGCATTAATCTGCTTTACATTATATAATAGGGGCTGGGGATTTAGCTCAGCGGCAAAGCGCCTGCCTGGCAAGCGCAAGGTTGTGAGTTCGGTTCCCGGTACTGGAGAAAAACCAAAAAAAAAAAAAGAATCCCAGTTTACATTATATAATAAAATAAATTTACGGTGAGTACTTAAGGTTTTGTTTTGATGGCTGGTATAAATCCAAGGTCTCACACATGCGAGGTGAATGCTCTACTACTGAGCTACAGCCCCAGCCCAGGTGCTGTTTTCAAAACTGTGACAAATGATCAGGTGTAATACAGGCTCCTTAACGTTGTATTTGCGGTAGTTGCTGTTACATTTTATGAATTACAATGCAGCCTCAGAAATTCCAGGGACCCTGAGTTTGTCCTTATAGTACAGAAAGTTACTACAATCCGAATTCCTGGGGGTTAACTTCAGTACTAAGGGAGATCTCAAATGAAAACAAATTTATGGAGCTTCTACAAAGTGTATCCCCTTTCTACCACAAAACCTACAACTTGTAGCCATCCTAGCTAGAGATATTGAAGTTGCACTGCTAAATAACAATGACTCCAAAAGTCTCATTACCCTAAAACCTATTTTGAGATCCAAAAATGTAAATCCAACACCCAGTAGTATTCCAATATAAGTGGATAATGTTTTAGAAACTAGATGTCTTCCCTCTACTGCTCTTCCCAAGTCTCCTATACCCTGCCCTTGGGATGGCGCAGAACATTCTGTATTATAGTACTCCACTCCAAGAATGAGTCCTCCCACATTGTACACCGCAGGGAGATAGAGGGTGCATCTGATTCAATATCAAGCACGGTGCCTACCCAAGAATGAAACCTCTAATACTTCTTGGAATAAATAAAATGCTAAGTAAACTAATTCACAGAGCTGGACTCATGGTCAACCCTGTGTTGGAATTACACGTCTTCAAAGTCAACTTCATGGCTAGAGAGATGAGCTCTACTTCTGCTTTCTAAGCCTCGAGGAATCTGAGTAAGCAGCCACATCAGTTATGCTCTAGGCAGCAGGGCAAATTCTTGTAATTGGCTCTCCTTATGGGCTGATGTGTACTGGAATTACTATCTTCTAATTAGAGTGATAAAATCTGAAATTCTGGTAGAAATTTCGGAGGCAAAGATAGAGCCTTCTTTGGTGAAAGGTAGTGAAGTCGACCTACGTTAGGCACTTCTGTGAGGTGCAAGGAAGCCCCTAAGATTCTGCAAAGTGAGAAAATACACATTTTTTGGTCCGTGTCCTCTGTGTCGTATATATTTTTTTGTAGTTGAAGGGGCAGCCGGTGAAAGACAAAAATTCAAGAATCAACTTTTATCCTAGCTGGCTACTTTACTATCTAAAAATATTATCACCCAACTTTAAGATAAGCTGAATATTATGAAAATAGATTTGACTTAATCAGAATAAGCCTATAAGAATACTGTATATACTATATAGTCATAAAATAACCACAACATCAAAAGGCAAAATATAATTCTTTTAGAAATTATGGTATGAATCATTCAGCGTTTGTCTTGCCAAGATAAATATTTATAAAGCATACATATTATTATAAAATACTTTATAATACTTACACCTTCTGCATATTGCAAATATCGATCATTAGTTTCCTGTTTACCAAATGTCTCTAAAAACTTTTGACGGTAAGCAAGAACTGTATCAACATGTGTTTTGTATTTTACAGCCAACTCCAGTGCCCTACAATGAGAAATAAGACATGTTATCAGTATTGCTTGTGTTAGACTGCCAAGTTTTAGAGTTAGGGGAAAGGATAAATGCTTCCTTCCCTTTTATCCTGCACTGTGAAATGTCATTTTGCACCTTACTCCTCTTGCAAATTGCTATTCTTTAATGTCTGGATTCAACTCCTTCCTGACTGCCCTCCTTGCAGAAACAAACATTATCTATGTTCCATATCATTTATATACACTATTACTACAGCCCTGCTATAAGCGAGGTGGTTCCCTCCACTAGCCTATATACTGATAGAAGGGACATACGGGTTTCATTTCTGTTTGGTGAGCACTACACATGCCACATGTTGTAAATGTTCACTGAAAATCTTTTCCAAACCATAAAATTCAAGCGCATGAACTTCCCTGAATTCACCTAACCCTATCATCAAGATGACAATGAATTGACAGAGTTCAAAACTGATAACCTTATGTTATTACTATAAAAGTTTTTAAAATCTCATGAAATAAATTGAGGATAAGAAAAGTCTGACAAAAGCCTTTTATCATTTGAGCTTAGAAAAAGTCAAGCAGTCATTTAAATCGATATCTATCTATGTAACAAAGTTATTTTTAAAGTAATATTTTATTCAAATAGAAGAGAACTGAGTGACTCAATGAAAACAGAGATACAACACTGATGGTACAAAACATACACACTGTTGGTAATTTTCAAGGAAATAAACAGGTCAGCATTCAAGTCAAGGCTCACTTGTATAAGCACATATTGGTCAGCCCCTCACCACTGCAGCCCTGTCTGTAACTCACCAGTTAGTCAGGACAGCCTGACCAGTAAAGCACTGCCACAATATTTGGTCATTTTCTTTTAAGTATGGATAACACTCATCGTAATAGTCAAAAGCACACTATTTCTCAAGTTCTCTTGCTTTCTGACACACAACTTCCAAATCGTCCAGCCATGATTTATTGGAGCCAACTGTTATGACCTGTCGTTTTAGACATAACTTATAACAATGCACTTTGAAACCTGTCACTCTTCAGTAGCAAAATCTAGTTTACTCTTAGTACACATTTGTTTGCCCTACTTTAGCCAAACTAAAATACAAAAGTATTTTAGATATGCTGCATGTATTGATTGACAGTTGATAAACAATTGAGATACTAAAGACGTGAAAAAAATAATGCATATGTCATGGGTAATACAAATAGCAATACCAAGGTAACTAAAATTATTTCTTATAAAAACATACTAATACACACTATTACTGCTGAATGCAAAGGTCATTATTTGCTACTCATCATGGACTCTCACAAACTTCCATCATTTCTCTGTGATTTTAACAAGTCTTTCAGAAAAAAAGAGGTTAGGCTGAAAGGATGTAAAAATCCTAGAACAGAGAAACAAAAGTAAAAATAAAAATTAAAAAAGCAATTTAAAGAAGCTCAAAAGAAGGAAAGTGAAAGTAAAAATGTCTCAATCCTTCTCTCTCACATAATTCCCTCTGTATCTGTCTTGTTGCTTTTCTTATTGCTGAGACAAAATTCTACGCCCAAAGTAAAGAAGGAAAGGGTTATTTAGCTCGCAGTCCGTAGAGCTTTCAGGTCACAGTGGGCCGGCTGCAAAGCGGGGTGGCGTGGCAGGGGGCATTGCAGAGGAGAAACGGCCATGGCAGGCAGAAGGCAGAGGCAGCAAACAGCACAGCAGTAAGAGACAAGTACCCAGCCACAAGAGCAGCCCTCTTTTTGTCCCTTGTATTCTATCCAGGCTACTCACACTTAGGGTAGGTAGCACTCACACCCAGGGTGGGCCCCCCTAACCCTAGCATCACACCAAGAATCAACCCCAGCGTCACACCCTTAATTCCAGCATTACATACTCTACATCCAGCCACCTCTGAAACGCCCCAGCTATGACCACGCGAGGCTTCTTGAGACATCTAGATACAAGCTGTAACGACATCCCGAGGGCTCTAATCCCAGTGGTGGATGTGTAAGTGAAGATTCTGGTGAGTCATCCTTTCTGCACCCCATTGTACAGAACAGGAAAAGAGATCCTGATTGTGCAAAACCGAAAGTGTTCTAAATGAAGAGGACATAAGCAACCGTTCTAATCTGAGGCTTTTCAAAAATTCCAAAGACGTAATTCGGTACGGAAACATCAATACATTTCATTATGCAGAAAGAAGAGATGATGCCTGCTCCCACAGTTAGATGCTAGATCCTAAGTATTAGGCGTCATTATTGTCATCCGATACTAATAAAAGATGTACTAATTATCTGATTCAAGAACCATGGCTAAAGGAAAACATTTAAATGATAATGTGCTATTTTAAATGCTCTCAAAAAGGATACACTGGGTAAGGAATGTTTCTTTGGCACATTTAGGAGGAAACTTACTCCAAATTATATAAGAGGTTTGGGAACAGTATGTCTCTAGATTTAAAATGGTTATTTGGCAACCAAACAAATGTGACATTAGATTCTAGGACTGGCATAAATCCATGTATTTTAAGTAGAAGTTATATAAAAAGATGTTATAATTTCAAAACAATGATCTTTTAGCCAGGAATGGTGGCACATGTCTCTGTCCCAGCTACTCAAGAGGCTGAATAGGGATGATTACTTGAGCTCATGAATTTTGAGACTTAGCCTGGGCAACACAGTGAGAAACTATCTCAAAATAACAACAAAACAAAAAAAAATTATTACCTTTTGCATAATTTGAATGAATCAAAATTATTTTGTATAACTGAGAGAAGATTAGAAATTATTTTTATTACCTGGGTATGTTCGCATATACCTATTCCAGCATTCTGGGAGACTGAGGCAGAAGGATCATAGGTTCAAGCCCAGCCTGGACAATTTACAAACTTGACCTGACTCTAAAAAAAAACCACATGTGCACTATCTAATGGAAACAAAAATCCACACGTGAGCTATCTAATGGAAACTCTGAGTAGGTGGCTGGATAACTGCATTCTAGAAGCAGACATGGGCAAAAGGAGAGATGCATATTTGGAGATCTTAAGTGTGCAGAAAGTAATCAGAGTCCTGGAACAAGCCCCTGACCGCCATCATTTGGACTGAGAGGGCCACCAGCAAATGACGAACCCACTGGCTTACAGTCAGACACGAGAAAGAAGCACAGACAGACAGAGGCAGGTGAACACCAAGGACGCATCTTTCCTCAGGACATTCTCCTCACCCTTCCTGCTTTTCCACTCCCTGAAATCTAACCATCTTAAGGCAGAAAGTCACTTGCTAAGAACTGGAGAAAGAATATGTGGGTGTAGTGGGCAGGACAGGGGGACTGTGGGGAAGCTTGAAGTCTCCAGCAGAGAATAAGTGCGGTCACATAACGTAAGTTTCCAAAAACAGAAAACTTTTTTGTTTTCGTAGTGCTGGGGATCAAACCTACGGCCTCACACACACTAAGCAAGCACCCTACCAATGAGGAACACTCGTAGCCTTGCTCTGAATATTTTATAAGATACAGAAATAAACATGAAGATCCAGATCCAAAGGCATTTACAGTTGGAGAAAATAAAAAGCCGTTTTCTCCACTTAGGTCAAGGAGGTACAAGAAAGGTTGAGAGGCAGCAGGTCACCAGAGATGAGGCGACCATCCTCGTCTTCCCACTGTGACAGTTACTCGTGCACTGCAGGCTGTCCACACCCAGTGTTTAAGGAGGAAGCGCACTGCAGAATGACTAGGCTACTGTATCGACATTAAAAGCACAAATATGAAATACCTACTACGTTAGATACTGTCAAATGTTTCTATCTTTCAAGCAGTGTAAAATCTGAAAGGAGAAAGATGATACACATATCTGCAAAGATAAATAATTACAGATTAAAAGCTAAGACCCTGGATCAAATCCCCAGTGTTGCTAGAGAAAAAAAAAAAAGCAAGACAGAAAGACATTCACACAATTCATCACAATCATAAGCATTTAAATAGAGGCTTTACTAGTATTAGTGACAATAAGTGGAATTCCCAATTAGATTGTAAGTTTTAAGATAAAGGCAATTAGAATTTGCTACATAGTGCCGTTTAGAATGCTATATTAATAGTAGTGTCTATCATGAATTAACATAAATATTTCCCCAAAGTTGGGCATGTTGTCACATGCCTGTAATCCTAACACTTGGGAGGCTGAGGCAGGAGGATCGCTGTGAGTTCAAGGCCAGCCTGGGCTACACAGTGAGTTCAGAAACAGCCTGAACTGCATATTGAGATCTTGTCTCAACAAAACAAAACAAAATATTACCACCAACAACAAAAAACCTCCACAATAACAAAAAACAAAAGAAACAGCTTAGCAATAGTATATATAATTTTCTATTATTTAAAATAGAGTTTTAGAATGATTTGCACTCTACCCCTTCCCAAACTAGTTACCTTAAACTTTATACATTATAATAAATTGAGGACAAGGACAATGGCTATTCACTTTTATAGAACCAAGAACATATCTCATGATCCTCTGCACAGATGAACACAACAACCAATTTGTGTAAAATAAAAAAGTAGCTGAATTATGGATAATTTAGGTCATAAGGGCATAATAAAAAGACTATATAGTGTATCAATAAAAAATTAACCATATGCCATTTTTGTTACATTTATTCAAGGCAGAGGATAACTATATGAATTTTTAAACATATTTATCTAGTTTTTCTAAATTTTATTAGTACATGTTTACATTCCTGTGGGAAGCTGGCACATGTACACAACACATCTTACTTCTTTTTCATCCTGTCCCTTCCCTCCCTTGCCCCTCCCCCATCTCTTGATCCTCTTCTCTCTTTTTTGTACATATCCGTAGTACATAATATTTATATTCCCTGTGTGGAGTTGGTACATGTACATAAATTCTAATCTAAGAAAGTTATATAAAACAGCCTTATAAATGAAAGAGACATCAGTTACTTTTGAGTCTAGAGTGAAACAAGTTACGAAGGACAATTAACGAAGTTAATTTTTGAGTCTAGAGTGAAACAAGTTACGAAGGAAAAGTATGCCAAAAAGCACCACAATTTTGTTCACTGGGAGAGGAAAGAGTGGAACGAAATGAGTAGCAGAGCAGCAGGCTACTCTGTCGCAGAGAGTTCCTGCTCAAAGCCCAATGCAGAAATGAAGGCTGCTGCCGACCGCTCCTTACTATAAATCCTTTCTTCTTTCTTAAACACCACACGTCCTCCCTGGCTCTTCTCCCTTCTGCCCCTCTGACCGCTTTATGGTACCACCTTTGGGTAGATTTCCCTTTTTTCACTCATCCCATAAACACAGTGACACCTTTTCACTTTGTACATTTCACAGCTAATTCTATCTATTCTTGCTTCAACTACTGCCTATTTGCTGACGACTTCAAAACCTACAAATCTGGTTTAAAACTTTCTCATGAGTTCCAGGTACATTTAATAAACTATTGTCACATATCTTTTTACATATATTTCAAATTTGCCTTGGTTAAGTGTACTTTTGTCTTCCCCACTAAAAATGCTAATAAGACCACCATCTTCTCAGTACTAAAATAAAAAAATTTGGGAGACACTCTAACTCTTCCTTCTTCTTCCTACCCCAACTTCTAATCAACTAGAAGTTCACAGAAGGCATACATCTTTAATTCCAAATTACTCACGAATATAAATATAAATATTTTGCGGTATTAGGAGACTACTACATAGAGCGGAAAATGGAATTTACTAAGTGGTGGATGGAAGAATACATTAAGGTCAGTGAGATTTTTGAAATGAGGAGAAATGTTTATTACCTTTCCCAGTTATACAGATTAATATTGATCTGGATTGCTTGATAAACAAGGCCGGCCTGAAGAAGTACTATTTCAGCCTCCTGTATGTTCCCACTGAACAGCAGGACGTGGGCCATTTTTGACTCTTTAGATGGAAGATCTTTTATAGAATTGATGTACTGAACTTTGTCAATCTAGAAAAAGTATTTGAGTAGATAATAAGAAGTATTACAAATTATGGTGAGTAAAAGCGTACACACGTTCATTCATGTAAACACTACTGACTCACCTCACCGATGGCCGCGTACGCTATTTCTGCAGTGCTCATATCTCGATTCGCAACTGCCATAGCAGCGAGGCAAGCCCACATAGTCTGCTCCTGAAGTAAAATACGGAAACACTGTCTCAACTATATGGCTGAACTACCTTAAAATAAACAGTGAGGTAAATATTCACAATAAAATAAGACAATTTTAAAAAGAAAACAATATAAAACATGGCATTGAAAAAACTCATTAAAAATTAATCATGTAGAAATTTAATTGAGGCTATTTTGTTAAAATGTATTAAGAATACATAGCAAACTCCTTTCAAATAAATTTTTCTAAATGTTTTTACTTCTAATTATCAAAAATTTCTTTATTTTTGTGATTCTCAGCAATGAACCCAAGCTTTTCCACATGCAAGCAAATGCTCTGCCACTGAGCTACAGACCAACCCAAGAATTCAGTTTTTAATTTAAAGTAACTCAAGGTTACAAAATATCCAGTCTTTCTGATGAGGTGACAAAAAATATAACTTACAAGTAACGAGAGGAACAGTGAGGTTTCTCAGAAAATGATATTAAGGCAGATTACCACCAGTAACTCACTGTAGGGGAAAGAATCTAAATATTACCACAGAAAACTGTACACTAAGTAGTGCTATCTGATATTTAATAAAAGAGGTCTATGCTCAACTATCTTTGGAAAATAATGAAGTCAATCAAGCGGGAAAATGTTGACCTAAAGCAGATTTTAACACAAGCTGTACAGATCACCTGAGGAACTTAAAAAATATGCCCAGCCCTCCTTAACACAGATCTAATGAACGAGACTCTGTGGGATACGACTCAGAAAGCTGACTCTGATGCAGGGACAGGGGACCGGACTCGCGGCGCTGTGCACGCTGGGCAAGCACTCTGCTACTGAGATACATCCCAGCTGCTGCTTTGAATTCTGAGGCGGGTTTTGTTGTGGTTTGTGTCTAGCTGTCCCCTCAAAG